GTACAAGACCAGTCTGGCCAACATGGCGAAACCCCATCTCTACTAAAAAGACAAAAAAATTAGCTGAGTGTGGTGGCACGCACCTGTAATCCCAGCTACTTGGGAGGCTGAGGCAGGAGAATTGCTTAAACCTGGGAGGTGGATGTTACAGTGAGCTGAGATTGTGCCACTGCACTCCAGCCTGTGTGACAGAGTGAGACTTTCTCTCAAAAAATAATAATAATAATAATAAAATAAAAAATAAAAGTAGCAGTCGTCAACCTTTTTGGCACCAGGGACCAGTTTCATAGAAAACAATTTTTCCACCCACTGGTAGGGGATAGGGGTGGGTTGGTTTCAGAATGATTCCAGCCCATTACATTTATTGTGCACTATATTTCTATTATTATTACATTGTAATATATAATGAAATAATTATACAGCTCACCACAATGTAGAATCAGTGGGAGCCCTGAGCTTGTTCTCCTGCAACTAGATGGTCCCATCTGGGGGTGATGGAAGACAATGACGACCATCAGGCATTAGATTCTCATAAGGGTCAAACAACCTAGATCCCTCGTACACAAAGTTCAAGCTCCTATGAGAATCTAATGCCGTGGCTGATCTGACAGGAGGCGGAGCTCAGGCAGTAATGCAAGCGATGAGGAGTGGCTGCAAACACAGACGAAGTTTCACTCGCTTGCCTGCTGCTCACCTCCAGCTATATGATCTGCTTCCTATCAGGCCATAGACCAGTACGGGTCTGTGGCCCTGGGGGTTGGGGAACCCTGCTTTATAGTGTGCCAATTTACGTTCTCACCAATCACGCAGGGAAGTTTCAATTGCTTCACAGCCTTGACAATACTTGGTACTGTCAGTCTTCTTAATGTTAGCCATTCTGGTGGGTGGGTAGTGGGATTGCGATGTGGTTTCAATTTGTACATCTCTGATGACTAAAGAAGGCTGAATATCTTTTCATTTCTTTATTGGACTTTGGATATCCTTTTGTGAAATTCTTAAGTGTCATGTCCATTTTTCTTTTCTGTGGTCTTTTTCTTATTGATTTGTAGAAGTTCTTTTAGATTTTGGCTTGAGTCCTTCTTGGATACGTGTATTACATATATCTCTCTCCATGCTAAAGTTTCCCTTTTCATTCACTGATAGTCTTTCTTTGGTGAATAGATGGTCTTAATTGCAATGTAGTCATCTTTCTTGATTTCCTTCTTCTCTTGCCTCTTGGCCCCATTTACTACCTTGTAGCTTTCCAGTGTCTTTAAATAGATTCTAAAAAATAGTTTCTCCAGCTTTTCTAGATGCTCCAAATGGAATAATTGGGCAGAACTTCCTCAGGCAATCATCATTAATTTGTCTGGTTCTTTCTTCTGGCATTTTCATACTTCGAAATACATATACTTGGAATGTTATTTCTTGATTTAATATTGTAGACTTTTTAAAATCAATTTTATATTGTGGTACATGAGCATTTAACTGTCTTAAAGTTTTACTCCACAGTCTCTTGTCCTCTTAATGTGGTTCTTTCATGATTTAAAACTTCAAACCACATTTGCTCTACATAATATCAAGACTCTCTAAAACATTCTTCACTGCAAGTGCATGTGGTTGGCAAGGGATTTTCAGAGTCAGTTGTATTTGGCATGAGTGGGATTCTCTTTGAAGTTTTCAGCAGCCCTACTCAATATTCTAGATCTTTCCAGAATAGTCACAGTTTCAACCACAGAAAGCTCTAGCCATTCTGAGATTGAACTGTGGTAGTTTCTCACTATTTTGGAGTGACCCCAGAGGTCCATGCTATGTGGAATTTATCTATTTCCTGAGGCATGGCTTTGAATCACTGCCCCGTGGACGACAGGGCAGTCACTTAGCAACCAGCATCTCAGCAGACTCCCCAGGGCCCACTTCCCAATGTGGCTCCCTCTGTTGGGCCTTCCTTTTGTCAGGCACGCAGCAAGTCTTGTGACGTGATAAATCCTTGGGAAAATGGCCTCAAAAAGAATTCCAACTGCTGGGCCTGACCATGGAAAAGAAGACAAATTAAAATAATTTTAGTAAGTTTTGGATCTTTGCCAGAAAAGGGAAGTTTTGAAATAGAGTGGTATGTTGAATCCAACAGTGGCTAGGATGTAGAAGTGAACAGGTCCCCCATACACTCTATACAAAGACCACAAAAGATGCCTTTTAAATGTGTTTCATTAGGAAAATTACCTGTAATTTGTGTTTTTAAATAAGAAGATTAGAAACGGCTGTGGGATAGACTTCTTTCGTATGTTGAGAGTTATCTGTGTTTCAGCTTGTTCTTCCTGTAAATATACCTGCACTTGTCATTTTACATGTCCCAGGTTTGGTTTGGAAAATAGAGTCATAGCGATGGTCACCCAAACCAAGGGAGGTCCCTGTTGTAGCACTACCTCCAACCCCTAGCCAGACTAGGAAACCCCTTTCCCTAGGAGTTTCTTACAAGGTGTTCTGACCAGGAGATTTCTTCAGTGTCCTGGGTGCCCCTTCCGCACTCCCTAGAGCTGGGGGAAAACCATGGCTGAGCAGCAGGTGGGACAGAAGAGCATGAACCGAGGCAGAGTGGTCTTTCCAGTCTTCCTGATTTGCAGTTATACCTGTTACTGGCACAGTATACTTTTGTTTGGTTTTACTGTATTTCTTTCTTTCTTTTTCTTTTCCTTTTTTTTTTTTTTGAGTTAGGATCACTCTATCACCCAACAGTGCAATAGTGCCATCTTGGCTCACTGCAATCTCCACCTCTTGGGTTCGAGGAATTCTCCTGCCTCAGCCTCCTGAGTAGCTGGGATTACAGGCGTGCACCACCACGCCCAGCTAATTTTTGTATTTTTACTAGAGATGGGTTTTCACCATGTTGGGCAGGCTGGTCTCAAACTCCTGACCTCAAGTGATTGGCCCACCTTGGCCTCCCAAAGTGCTGGGATTACAGGCATGAGCCACCAGTGCCTGGCCCTGTTTTACTGTATTTCTTAGCACAAGGTTCCAGGAGACCTTATTCACTGCAAATTCATGTGGGTTCTGTTTTCCTCCCCACCCCTTCAGCTCTCCATTCTAGCCCCACTCACAGCTGCTTATCCAGGCTGCCACTGTCCCACTACCCAGGAGCCCTGTGCCACACCTGGCCATTTGAAATGGTGTTCAGGGGTGTCTGACAGCCTGTGGTCTCCTGCCCTCTTCAGCTCACCACTCAGCACCTCCATGGGTATCTTGCTCTTTCAGGCCCTCATCCTCCCTGTGCCTCCTGTGGAAAGTCTAATAACAGCAGGTGTTGACATGAGGAAGGCTGGGCTTCCCAATATACTTCATTCATCCACAAGACATTTATTAAGCACATACTGTGGGCCAGGCACCATAATGGGCCTGTGTACACAGATGAACAAGACGAGGTCCTGACTGCAGTGTCTCACAAACTTAAGCCATTCACACACATACACAAACACACTGGCGCAACACAATGTCATGTATCTGTGACAGAAAATCTGTCACTGGGGTCATGAGGGATGGGCAGTCGTGCTAATCAAGGAAATTCACCAGGCAGACAAGTGGTAGGATGGGAAGAAGAAATTCCACGGGGAGGAAGAAGCATGGGCAGACGTGTAGGTGGGAAACCCGTGAATGGTCCCAAAACCATAAGTGATCTGCTATAGTCAGTGAGGGCAGGACACAGAAGACAAGGTCTGTCCTCAGGGAACTTATCCTCTAGAGGGGCGGGCGGCCAGGCAGGCTCAGAACAAAGCAGACAGGAAGTGGTAGTAAGAGCTACTTTTAAAAGACCAGATAAAGTGTCAAGAGTTTTCACAAAAGGGAGACAGGACTCTGGGTTGGAGGGATCCCAGGGAGCTTCATGGGCTGGATTTTGAGCATGTAGGATGGATGTGCAGAGATGGGAGAAGAATCCAGAGGAAAGAGGAAGAGTGGGGCCTGCATGATGTGCATGAAAATAATGCCATCACTGGATGCAGGGCAAGCTCGGTCTCATTGAATCTCTCTAGCAGCCTTCGCGCAATCCAAACAAAAGAACTAATCCCGAATCAGATATAATCCAATGAAATATGCTGTCTTGCGTCATTTGAGAAGTGAAATAGAGAAATCTGCTGATAACCTCGTAATGAGGCTCAAACAGTACTTCAGATAAGGTGGCCTCCCAGCCCAAGGAAAAGCCAATCCGTGATACAGAACATGGACATCGTCTTAGAAAGAAGAGATAGACTCTGAATTCCCCACTAAGAAACAACTTTGGAGAGAGAGAAAGAACAGTTTCTCAGATGAAAGACCTAGTAACAATGTAAATTTTTGAGAGACCACAGTTCTAACATCTAGACTCTTATTAAACTCCACAGTAAATTCTATCCTTAACATAACCTTTGATGTACCAAAAACTACATATTTCTTTCATTAAAACCAACAAAACAATAATTGCGTCCGAGGTCGGCTTTTGAAACTGAGCCCAAGCACAGCCTATACAATCCAAACAACACAGAACACCTTTCTTGATAGAGAGCGCATGTGTTCCTGCAGCGCGGCATCAAAAAATCCCACTCCCGACAAGGAAACTCTAGTGTCCAATCGAGAACCTATCTCTTCACTATGTCTAACAAAAACGGAAGTCTGATGAAACCCCAAAACCGTACTCTACTAAAAATAAATTACCAACATAAAAACAAAACTAATCTGCAAACAGCGCTGACCATGCGTTTAATGCCACTTGTAAGTCCCCCTCATCACTATGAATAGACAGTCCACGTGCGGCGGAGAACGTCGTTTATACTCACAGGTAAGGCCGTAAGTCTTTTGCCAGTATTGCTGCCGAGACATCACGCCACCAATTCGAACCGCACTCGTATACCAGCCTGGGAGACCACCAGCCAACAAGAATACCTCGACAAAGAAAAGAACGTCTTCCTAAAAAAAACAAATACATAAAAAAACAACAAAACAAACCACAGACAAAAAAGAGAAATTAAGGCAAACCATGACTCGGAAACATCAACACGCATAAATTTCATTTAAGATAAAAAAGTACAACTTCATTGAAATTGCGACTGCCCCCAGAAGGCCTTCAGTGTGTGTGTGCTCTTGTGGTCATTAGGGCAACAAAGGAAAAGATCTGAGAGGCCCTGACATCCTTGGCCAATTTAATTTTCACAGGAATTCTATGACATAGATGCTGTTATGTGAGAAAATGTAGGCCCAGCAAGGGCATACCATGGCCAAGGTTACACAGCTAATACACAGCTGACTCAGAACTCAACCCAGGATCTGTGTGCAAAGTCTGTGTTTTTCATGCAACAGCCTGAGCGGCTGATCAATGAGGTGTGCTAGGAAATAAAGCTGAAAAGGTAGGTTGGTGATAAATCACGGAAGGTCTTGAAGGCCAGGCTGAAATAAAGGCAGCATGTGAAAGAAAGTTCTTGGCTCACTGGGCAAGACCTGGAGAAGCTGAAGGTAAGAACATGAAGTGCGGTACAGCCACAAGAGAGGGAGTGACTCTCATTCATCCCAGCTTCTTTGGGGCCACCTCTTATCTACAAGACAAAGCGTGACTTGCACTCAACAGTGGCATTGTTTCTGTGGCAAAAGAAGGAAATGTGCCTCTGCTTCTGTTTGTTTTCCACTTAATGTTGTTTTGCAGAACACGGAGAACCCAGAATCATGGACCATCTCATTTTTGACTGAATGCTAGAGAAAGCACATCAGCCATCTGCAGCTTCTCCCAAGGTGTCCTTCCCATGATTAGGGATACATTCCATAATCAACACAGCAGGACAGAACAGTATTATTGGATCTGAAAGAAAACCAACGGAGACTGGGAATCTCTAAGGGCAGCTGCCATTTTCTAGATCTATTATTTTCTATTTGGAGGTTAGTGAGACAGAACATGGTGTTGATATGAAAATCGAGAGATTTATATTGTTTTCATAGTAGCTAAAAGAAAAAAAATCTCCGGAGAGGACCCCAAAATGGTAACTTGGTGCAAATACAAAGTGAAGAGTTATTTGTGGCTTGAGATAGGTTGGAAATTGCTCCTTTGATTAGGAGATGGTTGCTACAGTTCGCAACGGAATGTTACTGTCTTTCTTCTTTTCTTTTTCTTTCTTTAGTATCTGTTGAGAGAGTTTATGAAGAAACCAGCCAACATCCTGGAGATCCTCAGGCCACCTCAAGTACTGCTGTTTCTGTACAAAGCCTCTAATGGATTGATGTTTCATCAACTGGTACTGGGACAAGGACCCAACCACCACCATGATGAGAGCACTGTTAAGGTCAGATAAGCACCTGCCCTGGGCATAACTGAAGGCTTCAAGGCACCAACCATCTCTAAGGAAGTGTCTGCTCACAAGACAAACAATCTTTCTACTGTTCCAGATGGCGTCCTGGATATTGGCAATGTGGTTTTCTCCCGGGACAAAGTCTCTTTCTTCAAAGCACAGGTTAAATCTGTTTTGGTCACTGTATTGGGTGTCCAGGTGTTTGAGCAAAGCATTCTGCACCCATGCGAAGTCTTTGCTGCTGAAGCACAAATAGGCATCATATTTGTACGTATCAGGTTCTGTGCCCTGGGGATGGTACTTGAACACCAGTCTCTGGGCTGTCTTATAACAGATAAAACAGAAGCCCCGGAACTTCGTGACTATGAGGATGGTCATGAGGAACAGAGTCAGAGTGACAGTGCATACAACGAAAAGGGAGAACTTTAGGGACTTTAAGACTTCCTCTTCATCACAAGCTTCCGTGGAAAGAGAGAAGAGGGAAACCCCAGAGAGCGAGTCAGGGTACACACAATGTATGTCTGCAGGAGGCCCAGCTATAGTGACATTGGTGTGATTAAGCCAATGGATAAAAGTGCTAAGTGCACATTCACAAATGAACTTGTTATGAGTTATATCCAAGACACTAAGTGATACAAATAAATCAGGATCGGGAGCTAGGAGCTGATTCCCAGATATGTCAAGGATCTCTAAATTAGCAGGTAAATCATTGTGAGAAAGAACTGTCAGCCTGTTGGAGTTGAGGCTTAGTCCCTTTAATGCAGTCAGATGTTTAAATACTCCTGGTGGAAGGGAATTAAGATAGTTATTATTCAAATACAGAACTTGAAGATTAGAAAGTCCCTCAAAAACATCCCAACAGAGCTGAGTTTCCCAGGCAAGTTGCAACATATTTTCTCCAAGGAAAAGCTGTTCTAAGCTGGGATTCTCTGAAGGTGTTTGATCTCCACTACAAGAGGATAAGCGATTTCGATTTAAAATGAGAATCTGGAGATGAGGTACCCGTAGGAGAAAGTAGAGAATATCTAGATTTTCTAGCCTGTTTTCTGATAAGTGGATGAAGTTGGCTGTAAGGTTGATCTCTGACAAAGTCACTAGTTTATTGCCACTTAAGAAGATAGCAGGTATGCTTGGAATAAAATGAATGGTTGTAAGAGCATTGTCTCGGAGATCCAAGGTCTGTAAGTTTTCCAGGAATTTGAATGTTTGGTCTTGAATTATTCCAATGTGATTCTTTTGCAAATCAATGTAGGCTACCTTAGGTAGTCCATAGAAATTCGAACTGTAAAGTTCCCCCAGAAGGTTATACGACAAATTGAGAACTTGGAGGTTGTCAAGTCCGTAAAATGCTTCAACCGCAATCTTATTTATCTTGTTGTAGGCAAGGTTCAGAACCTGCAAATCCTGGAGTGTCTCAAAGACTCGGGAGTTCAGGGAGAAGATAAACCCATGTGAAAGGTCCAGGTGTCTCACTGAACTTCTGGCCAGGCCAGCAAATGTGTTCTGGTCAGGATCTTTGATGTTATGGAAGCCAAACCCGGCACCCATGATGTGGTGGGCAAGAATCAAAGAGAAGGCCTGGCTTTTGCTGATGGCATTGCTAAAGTTTCCTGTGATATCCACTGTCCAGCCATTTCCAGAAACATCTAGTGTCTCCAGCACCATGTTTCTGAACGGGTTCATACATTTTCCCCAGTCCACTGAGACTCTGCTATACAAGTTATTAGCTGCGAGGCTGAAAAAGGAGAGCATTTTCCCTTGGAGGGGCTCGAGCTCATGTTCACATACAAGAAATATTTGGTTGGAGGAAAAATCTATGGACTTCAAGGAATTCAGCTTCCCAAATGAAGGATGAAGGTAAAGGCTACGAATCTGATTTTTGGATAGATCCAAGCGAGTTAAAGACTTTAAATTTCTGAAATAACCATCTTTCAATACAGCATCGGAGAGACCACAGAAATACAGTCTAAGTTCAAACAGATGGAACAGTCCCTGAAAAGCATCTGGATGCAAGAAGTATATCTGACTACTTCCCAGGTCCAAGATTCTAAGGTTGGGCAGGTTTCTGAAGGCCTCCTTGTCAATAGTCAAGGGGGTATACTGGTTCCCGAGCTCCAGCAGCTGCAGCTGTTCCAGAAAGGGGAAGGATGAAACAGTGACTGTCCGGATATAGTTGAAGCTCAGCAGGAGCCTCTCAGTGGTGTTGAGGACCTGGGGGACCTGGGTGAGGTTGCAGAAACGATAAAAGGCTATTCGGCCATCAAAGGAGCAGGAAGGAAATCCAAACACAGGACTGGCCACAAGCACCACTCCTAGGAGAAGGTCCAGGTGGTCTCCCATGATCCTATGGAGAAGAAGGGAGAATGAAAACACAGGCATTTAAGCTCGAGGTATTGCACTGGGGTCTTCAGATCCTGGGGGTATTCTCTATGATGTTCCTGTTCCCTTTGACCCCTTCACTCCTCTGACTCCACAAACGTGGCTGCTGGCAGATACAGACAAAGCTATTCTTACTCTCTTTCTGTTTTTTTGAGACAGGGTCTTGCTCTGTCGCCCAGGCTGGAGGGCAGTGGCACCATCACAGCTCACTGCCACCTCCGCCTCCCGGGTTTAAAATATCCTCCCATCTCAGCCACCTGATTAGCTGGAACTACAGGCATGTGCCACTGTACCTGGCTAATTTTTGTATTTTTAGTAGAAATGGGGTTTCACCACATTGCCCAGGCTGGTCTCCAACTTGTGGGCTCAAGTGACCTGCCCGCCTCAACCTCCTGAAGTGCTGGGATTACAGGTATGAGTCACCACACCTGGCCTATTTTTGCTCTCTTTCTATCAAACACTTATGTTGAATGCTCTATATACTAGGCACTATTCTAGGTACTTAAAAAACATTTCACTTAATCTTTTAAAAAAATTTTATTTATTATTCTAAATCAAAATTAAAAAATTGAGATGGGGGTATCGCTTTGTTGCCCAGGCTGGTCTTGAACTCCTGAGCTGAAGTGATCCTCCCACCTCGGCCTCCCAACGTGCTGCGATTACAGGCATGAGCCACTGCACCCTGCCTGCACTTAATCCTTATAATAATTCTACGTTTGTTCATTCATTCGTTTTTTTCATTCATGATTTGCTGAGGGGAGTTGGAGAAAACAGCAGGAAGAGACACAGTGTTGCTTCATTTTAGCCAGGCAACCCTTCCTAGCCCACAGAAAGCTCGGCTGATGAGTGGAAAATAAATTCATTGTTTTTCTCCCTTAACTTGTCTAGGCTACTGGCCCATCTCCGTTTGTCTGACCTTACTCCACCCACAGTCCATCCCATCATGCAGAAATCGGGCACTTTCTGGCATCCCTACAAAGAGTCAGATGTGATGGGCTTAATAAAAATGTGATAAGTGCCTAGTGCTCGCCTGAAAGCTGTGTGAGGGTGTGAGTGTACAACAATAAACAGAGACCGGCCCACTTGCTTAAGTCCTGTGGGGGAGCTGACTGTCTGTCTGGGTGGGTTGAGTGTTTTCTTCACGGGTGCAGCAGAAATGGTGCTCAATAAATGTGTCTGGCTTATGTTCCAAGTATTGTGCTGGGTGCTGTGAAGAGAAAACACACAAGAACCCCACCCACAGAGAGCTTGGTGTCTGTTATTTGCATAGCACCTCCATCTTTGGTGCCTGCTATGCATTCCATTTGCTCTAAATGTAACGAAAGGCCTCTGTTGGAAGGTAAAGGAAAAGTTACATAGCTCAGAGGGCAGGTGAATGAGAGGAAAAATAAATGAAAGAAACAGGAAGAAGGCAATGGTTTATAAAGAGCATGAATCCCATGATCCCATGAGACAACATCACTGGCAAAGGTGTCAACACCAGGAGAGATTAAGCCTGGAGCAGTCATGGTGCTGGAGGTAGGCTATCTCTAACGAGGCTGTGCTTTGTGTTGGGGCTGATGTATGGTGGGGTTTCCACAGAAACTGTGAGGCCGTGGCACACAAGCTACAGCAAATCAGAAGTAGGCGTCCATGCCTGGGTTGACTCAAAGTATCAAACTCAGGCATCTGATAATTGTTAGGAAAAACTTGGTGAGAATGTTTATCACCACTCTGAATTTCTCCCTCATCTTAGTAAATGGCTTCACCATATCCATCCAGAGACTCAGGGTGACAACATAGCAGAGTCACCCTCATTCTTTTAAACATCACCCCCATATCTAATCCATCGGCAAGTCCTGTTGGTGCCACCTCCCAAGCCTATCCACTGCCCTACTGTAAGCCACCGCCATCTCTTTGTGTGGGCCAGACTGGAGACTCCTCACTGGCTCTCTTATTTCTGGTCTTGCTTTCATTTTCCAGCCAGCAGCCAGCATGATCTTTTAAAACCGTAATCTAGTTGATATCATTCCTCTTTGTACAGGGCCCTTCCCTTCCCTCCCGCTGTACTTGGAATAAAATCCTACGAGGATTTACATGATTCAGCTCTTGACTGTCTTGTCAACATTATCTTGAATAGTTTTTCTCCTCAATAACTCACTAAAAAAAATTTGCTGAGTACCTATTATGTGTCAGGCACTGTTTTATTTATCATTTATTTATTTGAGACAGGGTCTCACTCTGTCACCCAGGCTGGAGTGCAGTGGTGCTATCTCAACTCACTGCAACCTCTGCCTCCCGGGTTCAAGTGATCCTCCCACCTCAGCCTCCTGAGTAGCTTGGATTAGAAGTGTGTGCCACCATGCCCAGCTAATTTTTGTATTTTCAGTAGAGATGGGGTTTCAGCATGTTGGCCAGGCTGTTCTTCAACTCCTGACCTCAAGTGATCCGCCAGCCTCAGCCTCCCAAAGTGCTGGGATTACAGGCGTGAGCCAGCACACCAAGCCTCAGGCATTGTTTTAGGAGCTGGCGATACAGCTGTGAACAAAATGGACCAAGCCTGCCCTCATGGAGCTTACATTCTGGTGGATGGAAGAGGTGATAGACAACAAAAGGAAGAGGAAATAGGTACTGACAGGTGGAGGTAAATGCAATGGAGGAAAGTATAGTGGGAAAAAGGAGATGGGGGTGCCAGGGCTGGGGTGGTGGCTGCTGTTTATAGAGAGGAGACAGGAAAGGTGTCTCTGATGTAATGAGATTAGGGCAGGGGTCTGAAGGAAGTAAGGAAAAATGTGGAGAGGCCCAGTGTTTGAGGGAGAGGAGTGGCCAGCACCAAGGTCCTAAGGTGGAAGCTCCAGCCATCCTGGAATACACACATGGTCCGTCATTCCAAACTCTTTCCAGTCTCGGGATCTTGGTACGTGCTGCCTCCTCCATGTGAACCCTCTTCTCTCTGCTCTTACTGCGACTGGATCTCACACCAGTGTTTCCTCAGAGCCTTCTCCTGCACACACTATTTGAAATAACTCCCCCGCCCTGTTAATCTTTCAAAAACCATCTTATTTCCATCAAAGCAATGATCACAGCCCTTAATTGTCTTGTCTATTTGGTTGCTTATTTATCATACTTAACATCTCTGTCCCCTGGTAGACTATATTCTCCACACAGCAAACAGTTAGAAAGAAGCATGGTGCTCACACAAAAAAAGGAAAGAGTATGTTGAATATGTTGAATGAACAACACTGCCATCAACAGAAAGATAAAGGGATTGGATCTGTTCAAGGACCTTTGCCTCAGTGCATTTTATCTGTAACACTCTCTAAAAGCAGTGGCTCTTGATGGGGACAGCTGCCTTCTAGGAAGCTGTAAATTTGCAGGCTTGCTTTTTGGTTGTCGCAGTGACAGGAGTGGGTATACCCCCTGTAATCAGAATGGCATAATAATGTATGTCAATGAAAAGAGCCAAACTGTAAAACATTTGAAGAAATTTATTCTGAGTCAAATACGAGGGCCATGGCCCATGACACAGCCTTCAGGAGACCCTGAGAATATGTGTCCAAGGTGGTCAGGATGCAGCTTGGTTTTATATATTTTTGGGAGACATGAGACATGAGTCAAATACATTTAAGATACACATTGGTCTGGTCCAGAAGCATGAGACAACTTGAGGGGCGGGGGCAGCTTCCAATTTATAGGTAGATTTAAAATTTTTCTAATTGGCAATTGGTTGAAAGAGTTATCAATAGAGGCCAGGCGTGGTGGCTCACGCCTGTAATCCCAGCACTTTGGGAGGCTGAGGCAGGCAGATCGCTTGAGGTCAGGGTTGGAGACCAGCCTGGCCAACATGGTGAAATCCCATCTCTACTAAAAATACAAAAATTAGCCAGGCATGGTGGTGTGTGCCTGAAATCCTAGCTACTCAGGAGGCTGAGGCAGGAGAGTTGCTTGAACCCAGGAGGCAGAGGTTGCAGTGAGCTAAGCTTGTGCCATTGCACTCCAGCCTGGGTGACACAGTAAGACTCCATCTCAAAAAAAAAAAGAGTTCTCAAAAGGAAAGAATGTCTGGTTTGGGATAAGAGGTTGTGGAGTCCAAAGTTTGATCATGCAGATGAAGCCTCCAGGTAGCCAGCTACAGAGAACAGAATGTAAATGCCTCTCATCAGACCTAAGGTCTGTGTTGATGTTAATGTTGGCGGGTATAATGAGGCATTTTCAGCCCCCACTTCCATCGTGGCCTAAACCAGACTTTTAGGTTAAATTTTTGAGTGCTCTGACCTAGAAGGAAGTCCATTCAGATGGGCCAGGCACAGTGGCTCTCTCCTGTAATCCCAGCACTTTGGGAGGCTGAGGCAGGCGGATCACCTGAAGTCAGGGGTTTGAGACCAGGAGGCAGAGGTTGCAGTGAGCTAAGCTTGTGCCATTGCACTCCAGCCTGGGTGACACAGAGAGACTCCAAAAAAAAAAAAAAAAGAAAGAAAGAAAGAAAAAAGAAAGTCCATTCAGATGGTTGTGGGGCCTTTGAATTTAATTTTTGGTTTACATCTGCATGACAGTCCTGTACCATGCAGAATCGGCCAGCATCCACACAGCTGTAGGATGTCCTGCGCAAAGTCCCTAAGGGTCAAAAGCTTGCTCAAAATTACCTCAGAACCTAACTTTGTGTTATATGCTAAAAAAATAGTTTTTGCACTGTTTTAATATATACTGAACTTTTCAGGAATGCAACTACTGTGTCAATCTAGGTAATTGTCAATCTAGGAAAGACTGTACCTTGTTTAGTTTGGATCTTTATAAAGTGTTATAAACCAAAAATAAAATTCTAAGCTCCCCAACTGACTGATGGACCCCTCTCTTGGCCAAGAAAAGGGGCCTGAAAAACTAGTTCAGGCCATGATGAGAAAGGTGAGGGGGTCAGACACGCCTCATTATACCCTCCTCCCTTTGGAATTCAGGAACAACTGACCAGTATTAACATTAAAACAGAGA